TTTGGTTAACTCGTGCATATAATATGTATACGAGACTTCTACCAAGCCCACATCCACATATTGCACGATGTATTGGTAATATTGGTCTTGTTCATGAAGCAAATCGTAATCTTGATCGTGCTTTAGAATATTTTTTTCAAGAATTCGAAATGGAAGAGCAATGTCTGCCACCTGATCATCCCAATCTCTCGATGCATCTTGATTGGATTATAACTATGTATAGAGAAAAAGGAGAATGGGAAAGAATTCTACGATTTTTTCGGGTAAAAATGAACAAAACCAAGCATAAATTTGTGTTTCATGAGCGTCATCTGGCTTCTACATTACAAGCGATGAAAAATTTTTCGCCTGATGCCACAAAAATATACACAAAGCATTATGAACTATCGATGGTAAATTCTTTAACACATACACTCGAAATTGTATCAGCAAAAGAGAAAACTGATGCATTGACTGCAAATCGATGTATCAGAAGACTTAGTGTCTGCAGTGTTGATGACCAGAAATTAGAGAAAAACCTAACATACTGGATTCATGCATTGAATATCGAACGGCGAGTCTATTCATCTGACCATCCGGAAATAGTCCGATCATTACGATGGGTCGGAGAAAGTCATATCGAGACTATACGAGATTACTCTGAAGCGTTACGAATGTATTCTGAACGTTTACGAAGTTTTGCCAGAAGATCGACCAATTTCAAAGATATAAAGTGTGGAAAATATTCTGACTTTGATATGAATGATTTCGAAAGAAAATTTGTCAAAACAACTATTTAAATCGGATTTATTTAAAAAATATCAATTAATGTTCGAAGGATGTGAGTACGACGTACTGACGAAAAGATAAATACACCACACATCATACCCACTCTCAACTCAGTTTTTTTTTTAAGGCGCAAAATAAAATAAACGATTGAAACCAATCCGTATCTTCAGAAATCATAAAAATCCTCTTACTTATCTTGAATTTCATAACAGAACCAAGATATTCATTGTTTGCAATCAAAGAAAACAAGACAAAAAAATTTAACAAAATTATAAAAGCCGTTAGCCATTGTATAACTTTCATGATCATGTAATTTAGTTTACTGTGTACAGAATTATGTTAATTCTAATTATTTATAAGGAAAAGTTATTAGCATAGTTCTCATACAATTGAAATGTGACATGATACAGTTACCATTTACACCAGCGAGCAGTAAATTGCCAAGTTGTGCGTCTCAATCTGCTAAACTAAATGTTTAACTCTAAACTTTAGAGTTGCTTTTAGGCGGTCTTTCTCGAACAATTTGGGATTTTTAGAAGTTCTAATAGTTTACACAAACCATTAACGGCTTCTGTCGATACTCGATGGTCGACCTGAATAACAAAAAATGATATATTTACGATTAATCA